GAAGAAGCCTGGTGGAATAATAGCATCAAGAAGCCTGGTGGAATAATAGCATCAAGAAGCTTGGTGGAATAACGGCATGAAGAAGCCTGTTGGAATAATAGCATCAAGAAGCCTGTTGGAATAACGGCATGAAAAACCACTTCTGAATCCTGCCATTAAGAAGCTCAAATAAATCATGTTATCAAGAAGCTTGTCTAGATACTGCTATCAAGAAGAACATGTGAATAATGTCATTAAGAAACCCAAACAATGTATTTAGGGGGGGTCAGCCTGAGTAATATGTTTGAGGGGTCAGCCTGAGTAATATGTTTGAGGGTTCTGATTGAGTAATGCCTTTGAGAAGCTTGTCTGAATAATGCTATTAAAGAAGCCTGTGTGAGTAACAACAATAAGAAGTCCAAATAATGCGCATAAGGAGTTTGTCTGAATAATGCGTTTAAGAAGTCCATCTGAATAGTGTATTCAACAAGCCCATCTGAACTGAATAATGCGTTTAAGAAGCACGTCTGAATAATGCGTTTAAGAAGCACGTCTGAATAATGCGTTTAAGAATAATGGATTAAAAATAATGAATAATGCGTTTAAAATAATGCGTGCCAGAATAATGGGTTTAAGAATCCTGTTTCCTTAATGACATTAATTATCAGTATAATGCCATTAAGAAACTTGTCGCAATAACACCAATAAGGTACTTATTTGAATAAATCCGATGGTAAGAAACCCATCTGAATAATGCTATTATGTAGCGTGTCTGAATAATTCTATTAAGCTTAGTAGGGAAGAAACTGCTGCCTCAGAAATTTTTAAAATTAAAAAGACAAATCCCTTAATTCCAAACAAACGTATCATTCCAGGTAAAAATTTCTTGGTGTTGTAGAATAGGCATAGCAACAAGAATTATCTTCTTTTGTCAACATCTTTTTTTCATATTACTCTAGATTAAGTTCTCCGGATCATGAATATTTAAAAGAAAATTGTTTTGATTAAATATTATGAAAGTTTATGGGAGACTAGTTTGTTATATAAATTCATCCCCCTCATGAAAGATAAAACAAATATATTCATATGACTTGATTTCATAAAATGTAAAAAATAAAAGATTTATTTTTTGAATTTTGTGAACTGGATTGCTAACCGAGAGTAATATATGGAAAAAAGAATCTCAGATTATGAATTTTACATTTTAAGAAATTACTTGGTATATACATATTTTGATTTCCATACTGAGAATAATTTAAAAAAATATATTTATATATTAAAATTCACCACTGTATCAACATTTATAAAATTTAATAACAAATGTTTTTCTTATATTTGTGATTTGGAGTGCTATGGTAATGTAAAAAAAAAAAAAAATTCTGGTTGCAGTGCCAATTGTAAAGAATTTATAATTATATAAAGCATAAAAATCTATTTAATTGATATAAAGTAGGTATTTAAGTATAAGTAAAAACCAAGGTTTCAAAAAATATTTTCAAGGTAGACAAGCCTCAGTCACTTGGAAGATTAGACAAAAAATATTTGTTATCTATATTACATAATATTTCACATTTGTGCTTCATTAATTTAAAGTTCAATTCTTGATAAAATACAAAGAAGAATATGCAATATTATTGTTTCTGACCTGGCATCTCAGGCTTCAATCATTTTCCCACCAATGTAATATAGCTTCCCTGTACCTTTTATACAACTATTATCATCATAATCATTTTGATGAACTTTCTTGCTTGGTACCTAGATCTTATTTATTTAAGCATACTACTGGATTGGAAGCAAGGTCTAAAAATTTTACAGTTGAGATTGCTAGATGTAATACTAACAGCAGCTTCTCTCAAACTTCTCATTTATGGAACTCTTTTCTAGATTTTGCTTTCCAGTCAACTTTGATCTTCAAAAATTTAAATGTAGTGTCAATCATTATCTTCTCTCTTCTTAATTCCTGTTTTTTTTTTATTGTTCACTCTCCTTAATAATGTTTTTTTTTATCTCATTTTCTCTCACCTTCAAAAACCCATTGAGCTTTAGTGGCTTTATTGTCTTGCTTGGGGTAAAATAATTTAACAAAAAAAAAGTTAATATTTCTACATCATTGTTGACACAAAGTATGGAATCACACACTTAGAGAATGTTCATCTAGTTTTTTTTTTTTATATTGCGACAATTAACAACTCACAGACATGACACAAAAGAATTTTTTTTTAACTGATGAAGTTTTTGACTTCATGAAATATACCTCAAAGAAATCAAGTTGGATTATTTAAATTAAGGGCAGATTTTTAGAGATCACTTTGAGGATAAAAAATGATTGAATCATTCAGTTTTAACGTAAGAATATGGAATCCTCAAATTCCAATGTTTTTACATCATTATTAATACTAATTGCTTGTCAGTGTCAGAGGGTACGATAAATTTGACAATTGTTGCACTATTTCTATATTGAGCACTTTCTTAAAAATTTTGCTTGCTTTAAAATACATTAAAATCTAATATTTTGATAGGTGTTATTGATATTATATATATATATATATATATATATATATATATATATATATATATATGTGTGTGTGTGTGTGTGTGTATTTTGTCAACATGTTTTCATTGAGACATGTTCTGTCTATTTATTTTCAATTGGATCCTTTCATATTCATAGATAAACTTTTTGCTGTCATTATTGAAGGATGAGACAATCACCATGTTAATACATATTTCTTTTATTACAAGTACTTCTGACATAACACCAGGGTATTGCTTATGACAAGAAAATGAAAATAAGTAGACAGAACATGTCCAAATTATTCAACTAAACATCTCTCTCTCTCTCTCTCTCTATATATATATATATATATATATATATATATAAATAAAATGAGCAGAGGAAGAAGGGACAAAATCAGGTTGGGGAAGTAAAAGAAGAAGAAATAATAGCCCCTGAGAAATTTAAGATCAGAATAGGTTGATTACTGAGAGCCAACCATGATGTCATGGTTAAGTCTGACAAAGAATTGGGACAGACCCATACAGTGAAACCAGCAAACAAGCACCAATCAAACTAAGAATGTATAGGATACCAATCAATAAGAGACCGACTGGTGGAGGCATTGGTTAAGGACATGCTAGAATCAAGAATGATTGAGAGGTCCAAATCTCCCTGGAGTTTCTCCATAGTAGTGATGGTAAAGAAGGATGGGGTGGTACACAGATCCTGTGTCAATTTCAGAAAGCTGAATAATGTCACAAAACCACTGACAATGCCACTTCCATTGATAGATGACATCTTGGCCATTCTTTGAAAGGGGCTAAATATTTATCAATGATAAACTTGAGTTCAGACTATTGGCAGGTAGCTCTCAATGAAGCAGATCATGAAAAGGCTGTGTTTGAGTGCCATATGAGGTTATATCAGTTTAGGGTCATGCCATATTGGCTTGGTATTTTCCAGCAGCTGATGTCAATTGTGCTAAGCAAAATAGAGGTCTGTGCCATGGCCTATTTGGATGATATTTTAGTGTTCTCTGAAACACCAGAAGAGCATTTCAACCACTTGAGGTAGGTGTTAGGATGGTTAAGGAAACGTGGATTGAAGTTAAAATTACCAAAATATCAGTATATAGGAAACAAGGTTCTGGGATTTGTCTAAAATGAGGACAAGATTAAGCTTGACCTTGGCAAGGTAGAGGTATTAAGAGAAATGCCTGAGCCAAAAATGATGAGCCAAGTAAGAGGGTTCATAGAAGCTATAAGCTATTACTAACAGTATATCCCAGCATTTTCTAGGCAGGCTACCCCTATGATAGCATTGACCAAAAAGTGTGCTACATTTAAGTGGACAGAGGACTGTCAGAGAGCATTTGACAGTCTGAAGGAGCAACTGACTGTGAAACCTTTATTAATGTATCCAGGCCTTAGCAAGCTGACGGTACTCTACACATATACTAGTGTACTGGAGCAGTCTTTACCCAGCCATGTCTGATATACTGGAAGAAGTACCACTATACTTCCTATCCCATAGACTCTCCAAAACACAGCAGAGGTGGCCAGTGATAGAGAAGGAAACACACACCATTGTGTATGCCTTACAAAAATTACATCACTACTTGAATTGGGCAGTATTTACTAACAAGTTCGACAACAAGCTACTCCAATACTTGCTGGAAACTAAATTGACTAACAAAAAGATCCATCAGTGGGCATTGAAGTTGAGCAGGTACAACTGTAAAATAAAGTACCTGGTCAGTAGGGATGATACATGCACGGATTTAGAGGCAGAATCTGTAAGGGTAAAGCCAGGAGTGGATGATAGGGATTACCAGATACAGGTATCAATTCCAATCGATTAAAGGACCATCCTGTGTTGGAGATTGAGGCAGAAGAGACCATAAAAGTTGTTGCTGATCCTCACTGGAAAGAAGCAATAAGAGAGGGTCAGGAGGACAGTGAGATAGTCGCCCTTATAGAAAAAAAAATAGAGGCAGGTAATACCTTTAAGTATGCAGTGCATGATCAAATGCTATATTAGCTCTCTTGAGAGGATGAAGAGGTAAGGCTCAGATTGAATGTGCTTAAAGGGCTGAGAGCCAAAATATTGGAGCAGTGTCATTAGAAAGTGGGTCACATGTTGATCAATAAAACCTGTGATCTGATAGGGAGAACCTATTATTAGCCCGGGCTATATAATGAAGTCACCAACTACATACAGGACTGTGTGGTGTATCAGGCCCAGAGCAGAAGGCAGAAAATGGCTCCATAGTTGGAGTCAGATGTCCCCAACTTCCCCTTTGAGAAAGTGAGTAAGGTTGTTTCAGAACTGTAGGGGGGGGGACCCAAAGAAGAAATCTATACATTGTGAGCTTTGTAGATTGGCTGACAGGTTGTGATACCTGATAAGAGAGCTCAAACAGTGTCTAACTTAATATTTCCTCACTATGATACAGATAACGGATCAGAAAACGTAAATAAGATAATGCCTTGGTGAGCCTGAATACGGTTCATGACCACTTCCG